TAAGGCTGATTCATATCCCCTTTTCTACTTAGTCTCTTGGTTAATGTTTACATGCAAGTTTTACATATCTCAATAACTATTAAAGATATTTGTTTAAAACTTCACATATGCATTTAGTGTCATAATTGTAGGTCACTGACAAAGATCCATAATTCTATCTTGCATTTAGGCTGATTTTTCTCCCCTTTTTCAACTTAGAAATTCATGGTAAAGTTTTGCTTGTAAGCTGTTATCTCAATAACTACTGAAAAGTTTGTGCCTTTTTTGGGACAATTTTATGCATTCATAATAATAAAGTAGTGATTTACTTGATAAAACATCTTAATAACAAGCCTTTGTACCTTTTCTGTCAAATTTATGTATTCATAGGTAATTAGTATTATTATACTCAATAAAAACCCCTTGTGACATTACCTTCCGAATAGTCAAGCCAATTCTGTATAATTAGACTCTCTCTAAGGCCTATAACATGAATTTATAAAAAAAAATTAGCCCTTTTGTGAACTTAAAAAATTTAACAATATCAAGGCTCTTTTACTATCAAGCACTTAGAATAGTCGAGCGTGCTGTCCTACCTTAATAAAAAAAATATGTAAACAAATGAATTTTAAATTTTGGATAAGTAAAAATAAAAAAATTCTGTCGATCTTGTATGTGAGCATGTGGAAAAAATTAAGATTTCCGCACCCCAGATTGATATTATCACTACAAGTCTTTTAAGGAAACGTTTCATTTGAGCAATTATCAGATTCGTTTTTCTTACGTCTTTTATTTGATACAGGATTAATTATCAAATTCGTTTTTCTTGCGTATTTTATTTGATACAGTCCAAATTAGCAACCATTCCCTAACCTGGTCATGAACAATATGATATTGATGAGTGTTTCTTTCATACTTGATAGTCAGGTCATTGTGTACTTTTAAAGTTTAAGAGCACTTGATTCTGAGGAAGTGAAATATTTAAATAAATAGTATTATAATTAGCTGAGGGGAAATTAAGTAACATGGTGGCCATGGGAACAATATGTCATTGGCTTTCAGCAATACCCTCAGTACAGTAGAAGACACCACTAGCATTCTTTGACCTAATGGCAGGTCAATTTCTGGAGTTTTGTCCTAAAATAGAGGACTACCAATGTTTACTTTGACCTGATGGCAGTCAAATTTATAGCATTTTGCCCTAAGATCTAAAATCAAGAACTTCCATTGTGTACTGATAGCAGCTTAGTTCCTCAATTTGTCGTAAAAAATGGAAAGTAACTAAATCAAACTCAAAATGAGGTAAAGGGGTCAAAGTTTATTTAACTTTTGTTATACATTTGTATATAATCAATTGTAAGACTTTCAGACCAGTCCTTTATTGCTGCATGCTGTAAAATAAAAAAATCTGAAAATATTGGAAATTGCGTCAAATCTTTCCCCTGACATTTGATTCTGTTCACGAAGAGGAAAATAAGTGCTGGGTGATACAGTATTGTATCTTTGGTCTTTATTTAAATATAGATAGGATAATAATGTTTGTATTATAACAAAAAAAAAAGGTCTTCAAATATTTACATCATAATGATCCACAACTTTCATTGGATGATTTATCAATTATTCATACATTTTAAAATTAATATTTCTGAAATATAAATCAATTTAAGGATGATTCTTTAGTTATTTATTTTTTAAACTTTCTATAAATTGGTACACTTAATCGTTGTTGTTGTTTTCTTCTCAGTATCAAAGAGCCGTATTTTTTTCAAATGTAGGAATTTCCACATGTGTTGACCTAGATAAGTTCCAAGCATGAATACATTGTATTCATCAGTAAATGAAAACAGCTCACATATTCGATTAATCACATTTTTGTCCTTTGTTTGGCAAGTTTCAGTTCAGAATTTTTTTTTTAGATTTTCAGTTGAAGAATATCAGCTATAAGATGGACTAAACAATATGTTGCATATTTCTTCCTAACTTTTCTCCCACACCAGTCTTTTCTACCCAAAATTTTTGTTTACTACAACTATTCCAGTTTTGAATTTAGATCATTCCCAGCCTTGCAATTAAGGTATCTGCCTTTTAACCCTAGAGATTGTTGGTTCAAGCCCTAACTTCAGTCACAAGTAGTAGAATAATTGAATGTGAGTGAAATCTGAAGTCCTTTTGTAACAGAAGACTTATAATATTATGATATATGTTAGAAGTGATGTCAAACAAAAAAAAATATATATATATATGTATTACATGGCTGCCGTCTGTTTTCTGGGTTATAGATGTGTTATAAATATTCCTGACAGGTTATATGACTGTATATAAACAGTTGTTTGCAGTATAACCCTCGACTTGTGGCTCGGGTTATATTTCCAAACATCTGTTTATATAGGACCATATAACCTGTCAAAAATATTTATAACTAACAATATAATTGCAAGTTAATTGTTTTGATTCTAGTCAGTATTTTAGGATTATTCAAGACGTTATAATTTTGAATGAATATTTGATACCTTATTTTATCCTTGTACGACTATACAGGATATTTTAGTAAGTTTTTATTGTTTATTTGATTCCTGTGTTCATTTCAAATCAAGTTGATTGTTCGACTTTTTGCGATTGTAAGAGATGATAGCTACTTTTATGTGCTGAATTGACGTTTACGCTCCACCGAGTCCACTGCACTGTAAAATACAACTCCAATGAAAATGTTACTGAGGGGATACTTGAAAGTGACATAAATAAACAGAAATAGGGTTGTATTGATTGCTTTGAAAATTAAAAAAATCATCCTGTCATACGTTTGCATTGATTTATCATCATGATAAATAATAGATTTTCTGCTATAAATACAAAGGTTATAAAATATGCTGTAACATTTGTTTCAGATTATTGGACTCTTAGTAATGTTAAACTTGTGCCATTTTAAAGTAATAGGTGTGTAGAACAGTAAACATGGAAGTTTTGTTAAAATTTTAACATGTGTTGTGTTTATATTTTTAATATGTTGAAACAATTATAACAACATATATACATATATATATATGGTGGCCAGTTTGGATTCTTAGTTACTTTTGTAACAATTTATGTGTGGCTGTGAAAGAAGAAGATTGCACAAACTAACTGAAGAGAGAACAGAATTATATTATGATTTATGCAAACTGTGCTTTATATGGATTTATAATGAGTGTACATGTAGTTTATAAGGTAATACATTTAGTTTATAAGGTAAAACATTTTGTTTATAAGGTAAAACATTTTGTTTATGGCCTAAAACATGTAGTTTATAAGCTAAAACATGTAGTTTATAAGGTGAATACATGTAGTTTATAAGATAATACATGTAGTTTATAAGGTATAGAAGTGGTTTATAAGGTAATACAGGTAGAATATAAGGTAATACATGTTATTTATAAGGTAAAACATTTTGTTTATAAGCTAATATATGTAGTTTATAAGCTAAAACATGTAGTTTATAAGCTAAAACATGTAGTTTATAAGGTGAATACATGTTGTATATAAGGTAATACATGTGGTTTATAAGGTAATACATGTCGTTTATAAGGTAATACATGAAGTTTATAAGGTAACACATCAAGTTTGTAAGGTAATACATGTCGTTTATAAGGTAATACATGTGGTTTATAAGGTAATACATGTTGTTTACAGATAATACATTTAGTTTATAAGGTAAAACATTTTGTTTATAAGCTAAAACATGTAGTTTATAAGCTAAAACATGTAGTTTATAAGGTAATACATGTAGTTTATAAGGTGAATACATGTTGTTTATAAGGTAATACATGTAGTTTATAAGGTGAATACATGTAGTTTATAAGCTAAAACATGTAGTTTATAAGCTAAAACATGTAGTTTATAAGCTTATACATGTATACACATTGAATTATAAACAGTCGTGTATTAAATTATAAACAGTGCAGTATTGAATGATAAACAGTGCACTATTGAGTGATAAACAGTCAGTATCAAATGAAAAATACTGCAGTATTAAATGATAAACTGTGAGTAGATGAACAGTGTTGTAGTAAACCATGAAAAATAATTTAATCTAAAATTTGTTGTCAAAAAAGATTGAAGTGTAAAAGGACTTCAGTCGTGCAAAGAAATTTAGTAGAAATGAGGTACCATAGGCAGAGCTAATTTTCACCAAATTTCCTGGAAAGAAATTCCTAATCACATTTAAAAGACAATTAAATGTATCTGTTTTAAGGAATGAAAAGCGGAATCTATGCGAGTTATTTAATTAAAGGTGTGAGTTTAAGGAGAAACCTGTCTGACTCTATATTTTCTGTTTGGTATTATTTTCAGTTATGTAAAATATCTGCAAGTTTGGTGGTGATTTTCACGCCTTTAATTTTACTGTAATCTTGCCTGTTCATGGTGTTTTGTCTGCTAAGGTGTGAAAAGATTCACTGCTGAATGTTTATATAGGTCATACTATGATGTGAGTTTTGTTTTGGAAATTTTAAGGCTTTTCTTCCTTTTTTGCAACAAGGACGATATAAACATACACCCCACTGACTTTTTTATGGGTTATTTTGTTTGTCAAATTAGATCAGATCTATTGCATCAGATTTTGTAATTTTTATTTTAGCATATTTTGTCTAAGGTTCCAAATGGCGTTCATTGAAGACCAACTGTGATTAAAGACCACTCACTGAATTATCGACCACATTAATGAGCTGTGCCATGACAAAACCAACATAATGTGCTTGCGACCAGCATGGATCCAGACCAGCCTGCACATCCATGCAGTCTGATCAGGATCCATGCTATTCGCTTACAAACCCTATAACAAGTAGAGAAACTGATAGCGAACAGCATGGATCAGATACGCAGGCTGGTCTGAATCCATGCTGGTCGCAAACAAATTATGTTGGTTTTGTCATGGCGCGGCTCATTTATTAGACAGTTTATCACTTTAAGGTTTGACATTTGTTATTATTAAAATAATATCGATAAAACATGATATTTGATAACTTTTATAATTTTCTATATTTTAGAGCTGGGAGTTCGATGTTGGTCACCATGCATACAACTTCACCTGCAGTAATGGTAAGTTAATGATTTAACTATCTGAATACTCAAATGCCCTTAAAGTAAAATGGCCTTCTTTTGAGCAGAAAATGGTAAATAAAAAGGGCCTCTGTGCTTGAAATTTTTGTGTCTTAGATTCGGCCCCCAAAAAGAAAAACAGAAAATAGATTCACAAGGTCACTGGGAATATTTTAAACACTTCGATGTTTGCCATATATATTACAGGACGCCCAATCTCTATACTTTCCTTTATTTTGGCCTTGAAAAATCCTATATTTTGTGTGCATATAATTTTCAGGGTGCCCACTCTCTATATTTTCCTATATATTGCCCACAAAAAATCCTTTATTTTTGGCGGCATTCCTATGATGCGTCGGGGAAAAAGCGGACGCCCTGAAATTCTCTTTCCATCATATTACATTATAAGCATTATCTGGCCACAAATTAGAACTAGATATGAGCCGCGTCATGACAAAACCAACATAATGGGTTTGCTACCAGCATGAATCCAGACCAGCCTGCGCATCCGCGCAGTTTGATCAGGATCCATGCTGTTCGCTTACTAACCCTATAACAAGTAGAGAAACTGATAGCGAACAGCATGGATCCTGACCTGGTCTGGATCCATGCTGGTCGCAAACCCACTATGTTGGTTTTGTCATGACACGGCTCATATTTTCTTCAGTAAGATTTATTTTGTCTTTTACAGTCATTAGAACAGAGTAAAAACTGTGTTGAGGAAGACAACGATGGAGATGTTCTTAAACAGGAAACTCAAGATCTTGCCGGTTTGCTGTCATCTCCGGAAACTAAGACGCGAGATAACGGCACACCGTCTGGCATCAAATCTGAGCTTAACTCTGCAAACAATTCCGATATCAAAGACGAAGTGAAGGAAGAGATCTCCATCAAGAATGAGCCGGCCAATCCTGGAAGTGTTGGCAAAATGCCAAACGGAGATGCAAATTCAGGTGTGTATATTTTTCTAAATATATATGTAACATACGTAATCATAAATTAACTTTCAATATTTATATGATAATCATGTTCGACATTGGTATTGTAGTATATTGTCGAGTTGAGAAGCCTATATTAAACTGTGAAATTGTACGATAAATGATGAAACGATAGTTATGAATGAAATAATTTTTTATGATATTTCAGATATGGATAAAAAAGTCGGGACACCCGGAGATGTGAAACCACCGGATAAAGGTAAAGTGTCTTTTATTTGCCATTTTTCTTATGCCTTTATCATTTTAGTTTGAACCTTCAGTTGTTTAAGTACAATAATTTGCCTCTTTTAATTAGTACAGTAAAATTTGTATTAAGCGACTGCGCAAGGGAAACACCAAAAAATGGTTGTATGATACAATGGTCACTTTAAGACTAAGTTTGAGCGAGAAAAAATCAAAATTTAGTTATAAGATGAATTCAATTAATATTGATCCATTACATCCATGTTTGAAATTTTTCAAGAATTATTAAGTTTAAAAGATTAAAATCTTGACCATGACTAGCTGACTTATCAATGGTCGCTGGTCACATTGAGCAAAAGTCGCTTAACTCATTAAAGATAAAGAGAGAAAATGGCGGGGGGGGGGGTATTTAAAGTAATGACTTTAGACATAATTGATTAAAAATCAGAGGTCAGTTGAGAAGGTTTGACTGTAATCATACTTTTGCTCAATGGTTAAGTTTACTGACGTTGAGCCAGTTTCCTGTCACTGCTGTGAGTTTGAATCCTCCAGTTACTTTGGAAACTTCCATGTGAGGAAGTTGTCCGGCCTCAGGTTAATGGTACTATAATGCTATCCTTGATTTTTCATTAAATTTTTTCCTTTTAAAGCTGAATGCCTCCAGCTAACCCAAAATAGTTAAAAGAAATCTAAATCCGAGAGAAAAAAAATGTTCTAAGCTTTTAAGAAAAAGATTCACGATTCAAGTGATAATTTACATGTTATGTGTGAATAATGATTGACTTTGCAGTATTTATCACCATATTTCTACTGTGACTAATACAGTCAGGGCTATTTTGACCTTCCTTTTGGTTAATTTACGCGGACTTTATAACATGTAAATTACTATAATTTGTTCACTTCACAATGTTTCAATTTTAAAATAGATTTTCAAAATTTTCATGAAAATTAGCATGAATCTGGAGGCATGCTGCTTTTGATGTCATCAAAAAGTTTTAGTGTGAAATTCTTGCAGTATAAATCAATACAAACAATGGCAATATTGGTGAATGTTGTAGATCTATCATATGTTAATGTAGTTGTTATTTTGTGAGCTTTTAGGACAAAAAGAAACACCAGCATTTGGCATCTAGCATTAATTCCGAAGCCAGTCTGGTTTATGGCATGGCCTTTTTTCAGTAATTGTCTTTTTTTTTCTCACTTGAAAAAAACTTCGAAGAACCGGACATTAAGTGTACATCAGCATAGATTTTACCTTTGTAATTAATTTTCAAATGAAGATAATTCTCTCCTTTTAAAAACTTTCTCAGTTAATGGTAGTTTAAATTCATTTTAAAATGTAAACCCAGGTTGCATGTTCATGTGTGAAATATATACATTTACCTTTGTGGCCATTTTCCTGTCACTCTGTTTATTCGTAGACTTACAAAACAGTGTAATATAGGGGCATCCATGTCCTGTGGACACATTTTTAGTTGCTTGATTATCTCCCTTACTTTTATAATATTAGCTCTAAAATAGATCAGAGATATTCAGTACAGACTTGAAATACTTGTTTTCTATTCAGAGCAGGTTATTCTTTCAATCAGTTTTGCATAATGTAATGCAAACTATATTATCCAACCCAAAGAAATTGTGGCGAGCCCTGCTCTTCGGAAAGCTTTTATATTATTTTTTAACCATAAGTGTCTATGTATGTCATAATTAGAATATTAATTGCTGTGATTATCTCTTAAATATTTAGTGATAGCTTTTGCTTTGTTACTGGTTGATGCCTGATTTACACAATTTGCTTAAAACTTAGTTAAATAAATTGAGCCGCGTCATGACAAAACCAACATAATGGGTTTGCGACCAGCATGAATCCAGACCAGCCTGCGCATCCGGGCAATCTGATCAGGATCCATGCTGTTCGCTATCAGTTTCTCTACTTGTTATAGGGTTTGTAAGCCAACAGCATGGATCCTGATCAAAACTGCGTGGATGCGCAGGCTTGGTCTGGATTCATGCTGGTCGCAAACCCATTATGTTGGTTTTGTCATGACGCTGCTCAATGTACATTTTGATACATTTCAGCCAAACAAGAGCAAAATGGTAATCCGAATACCCCGAATATTGGTGACCAGATGCAGAGTCCAGCTGCCATGAATCCGATGCATCGTGGGAATATGTCCATGGTTATGAGTCCGGGATCTGCTGGTATGGGTCAACATATGGGTCCGCAGATGCCTCCCGGAGGACCACCTATGGGTCCTGGACCTGGTCCTGGGCCGGGAATGCCAGGCAATCAACCTGGTATGATGGGACCTATGGGGCCCGGTGGGCCAATGGGCCCTGGTCCTAATGGACCAATGGGTCCTGGACCAAATGGAGGGATGCCACAGCAACAGGTAGTTAGTGAGGGGCAGTTGATGCAGCAACAGAGTGAGATTTTTGTCTTCACCACACAACTGGCGAACGAAGCTGCCCAAGCTGTACAGGGTGGCCAGTATAAAAATATACTGTCCTATCACATGGACCAACCTTCAACTAAATCTTTCCTACAGGTAGCCTCCTCCTCCGCCCTGAAATCTCTTCTGTGTTCCTTTACAAACATTCCTTTGAGGCTTGCTTAGAGGTTGAGGCTTGTCATAGGGTTTAACTGTTTACTTGAGGCTTGATCTCCACTTGAGTTTTGTCTGAAGTTAAGAGCCATATCATAACTTAGAACTAAACATGATTTTATTCTTTCCTGAGGCTTAGAGCTAAGCTAAACTCCAGACTCGTCTAAGGCCAAGAACTCAATATTTTTCTAGGCTTCAAGCTTGACTTGAGTGTTAAAACTAGAGGCTTTTCCAAGGAATAGAACTAAACTTGGAGCTAGATGAATTTAAGACTCGTGTATGCCTCAATACTAACAATAAGTGTTTACAAAGGCTTAGCTTGTCTTGAGCTGAATTTACTGTTTTGTATTGTATTTTAATCCTTTAAATCCATATGAATGCATTTAAGGGTTGATGGTAGAAGATAGATACATGTAGTCAGGTGCAAACCAGTTTTGAGGTCAAAAAATGAAAAAGTTACTGGTCTCTCTATCTACCCTTCAACTGCTCACCCTAGGCTTTATTTACCTTTTAACTTTTTCAAAATATTTTCTTTTTAATATATAAATAAAAAATTAAAGAATTTTTCTTCTGTTGAATGTTTACACAAGCTGCGAACTTGCCATGCCTTATTTTCCTGTATTAAGGGCCAGATCAGGCTGTCTGCTTGATTTGAATAAATTTGTTCAACAATATAAAATAGGTAGAGTCAATGTTTGGCAAGCTTCAGACTATCTTGCAAGCCATCTTAAAGGAACACAGAAACTTGGGAGCTCATTGGAGAAGCCAGGCTGTTGGATCAAGGATTAAATTTCCAAAACATTAAATGACAGAAAATCATAATTATGTTATAAAATTACACATGGAAATTGGTATTGATGCAAAGAATTGATATAAATATGGAAAAAAAGCACTGAAATGATACATGATTTTGATAAGTTAGGATACCATTCCAATTACTTTCGCAAACCTATTCATGATTAAAATGAGAGTAATAAAACAAAACAAAAAAGTTTAAAAGCTTTAGAATGAATCTTGACAACAAAACAGAAAAAGAATGTTAATTCCTTCATTTTTTTTTCTCAAAAGAAGTCAGCTTTGTGGCAGTAATATTGTTGAAGACGAAATCCATTCTTTCTGTTACAAAATGCTAATGTCTTGCATGCCGAGTGTCTTACAAGATTTCACTGTCAACCTTCATACAGCACTATCCATGAAAACAGTAATAACCCTGCATGTCCGAATGTTCTAGATTAATACAATGTTACACTCTGCATTATCAGATTTTATTTTTTGGTGATGGCTAGCGTTTTTTTTTGTGCCTTGTTGCTGATTTTTTTTTTTCCGAAATAACATTTTTTTTATTTTTTTTGTTTCCAAGTGACGAAAAAAATAACCTTTGTATACTCAAAATATTCCTTCCTTTATATAGCCTTACTATTATAACCTCCTTCCCTCTGTGAAACATAAACTACATAAAAAGAAACATTTATATTTGGAAAATTAACCCTTTGTCCTACATTGCCTGCTTGTCTATTAGAGATTTTTGACTGTTAATTAATTGCTTGTTACTGTTTCCAGTTGCACGGGACATTCTTAAATACTCGCACATTGAAAGTTGTATTCTTATTAAACTGTTGAATCTTAATTTTTTCTCAGTCATGCACTGTATTGTATTTGTGAATGGAAATTGATAAGGGGAGCTCACTCCAGACGGCTGATAGATATTTTGTTTTTGGGAGTTATTTTCTAAGTCCATTAAAGGGGAAACAACTGTCTTGTTATATGTAAGGTTTAGAGAATCATTTCATTGGACTTTGGGGTTTTTAACATCTTCTCTGAAAGACATGTTACATTTGCACCCCTTGCATTTTTTGTAGTTTATCTATGTAAAAAACTGGACAATTATATTTGCTCATTTGAGGTAAAGAGACAATTAATAATATTCTAATAACATGTGACCATGCCTTTGATTCATTTAAAATTTAGTAGTTTGGTCTCTTGGTAAAACTATAAAAATAAGAGTAATACTTGTGAAGTCAATAATACATATTTTATTTAAAATCAACAGAAAAATTTCCCATTTTTAGAATCAATGAAAGTGTTTTGTTTTGTTTTTTTAAAGAAAATTAATTAAGCTTTGGGTGGGGAGTGGGGAATGCTGGGTATTAAGGAATGTCCTTACTGGAAACAAAAAAATATAACCAATGTTTGTGTATAATTGTGTTACATGTACGAGCAATATCCTTCAAACGAAAACAGACTATGAATGTTTTTATCATGTTAGGTGAGCGATATAAGGACCATTATGGTTCTCTTGTTCTCATGTTAAAGTTTTATTAGAGATGTTGGAGAAATTGTTTGCTTGAGTTGTAGTCAATGATTTAGAAACAAGTCAGGACATTGGTCAATATGTTAAATTATTGCTCGGAATTAACCAATCAAATGTCAGGATTTTAGACGAGTCTCTTGGTCTAAAGTTAGATAAGTAGCTGCATCGTCAAGTGTCACACTAGTAATCTAAGGATTGCTGACCGCTTGGGTTCTAACCTTGTCAGGGGCAAGCTGTTGTTTTCTTGAGCAAGAAATTTATTGTTTATTACTGGTTTGTTCCAGGAATGGATTAAAGAGTGTTTCAATAAGCTTAGACCTTCCAACACAGTCAAACTTATATAAATTTATATAAACTATAGTTAAAATTTAAGTCACTATTTTATATGTACCGCATTTATATATTATTATGTCAGTTTTGAGTTAAATGAATAGAATGTGAACAAAATTATGGTACCTTAGATAATTCTGTCACACAGACTTTGTAAAGATAGGAAAATATTGTACAAGAACATGCATAATCTTTTTGACGGCAGGTACATTGTAATACCAAAAATGATAGTTTATGATTTACTGAAATTTAAGAGCACAAGACTTAGGTTAACTATAGATTATGAATTATTACAGTTCAAGAGAACAAGACTTCTATGTCATTAAAATATTTCTAAAGTTATATGTTCTTTTTTCTTTCTCAGAAAAATCCGAAGATGCGGGGAGGAGCTGGGATGTATAACATGCAAGGTATGCGTAACAAAATGGGTATGATGAATAACCCTATGGGTCCAATGGGTGGCATGCCTGGTGGGCCAGGTCCCGGTCCCATGGGATACGGGCCGGGCCCAAATTCATCGAATAGTGTTGCGCAATGGGTACAACAACAGAATCAAAATTTACAAGAGCAGGGACTAGGAATGAACGATGGTGACCCTCGTATGATGATGGGGCCGAATAATCCGAATTTTTCGCAAATGATGATGGACGAAAGAATGTTCGATCCTGATTTTGGCGGCCCAGGAGGGCAAATGAATAATATGAACTTAATGCAAAGTAAAGTTCCGAATGAAAATTTGACTCCTGAACAATTACAAAAAAGAGAGGAGCAGTTAGCTAGTATTCGTAAACTTCAACAAATGTTATTTCCTGAGCAAAGAAATCAACAAGGTTTTCACCCAGGGCAAGGTCCTGGTGGGCAGGGGATGATGCCTGGGGATATGGGGGGTGGTATGAATATGTATCAACAAAGTATGATGTCAAAACGTGCAATGATGTCGCAACAAAACATGATGGGTTCGCCACATGGGATGATGGAATCTAGGCAGGAAATGATGTCACAAGAACAATTTATGATGTCACAGGGTATGTCACAGTTCGGTCCGGGTCCTCACCCGCAGAACATGCAAAATTTGACTCCCGCTCAAAGAGAGTGGATGAGACTTCAGCAAGAATATATGGCGGAGAAGAGAGCACACCAGCAGCAACAAAGGCCGCCCATGGGACCCAACGGTCCACAAATGGGCCCAAACGGTCAACCAATGGGGCCGGGGCAGCCTCCACCATCTTATTACAGTTCGATTGCTCAAAAACAACGACACGGGTCTGTTGGCATGGGATCTCCTACCTCACCGAACATGAATGGGCCAATGGGCTCTCCGTCTGTGGCTGTCTCAGGTAAGATGCTGAAGTTTTATTTCTCCAAACATGAATTAGCAAATCTGCTCATCATCTTGTAACCAGGGGTATGAAATTGATCCGAAGAATCCAAATTTTGTTTTCTAGGGTCAAAGATCTTTTGAATTGAAATGGCTTCTTTAATTGTTTATATCATATGAGTAAATTTCTTATTTCCATGCATCTTTTTATCTTAGGCCGTCTCAATTCTTGAGTCAGTTACAAAAAACTATTAAGTAGTATCTAGTCTGTTAAACAAATTAGCCGCTAAAAAAGCCTTAAAGCTGCACGCCTCCAAATGAGCTAAAATATTTCAAGAAAATGAAAATTGAGAAAAAAGTACTAATATTTCAAGAAAGGTAAAAACAATCAAGATCAATTTTGAAGTTTACATGTTATTTGCGATTTAAGACTAATCTTGCAGAATTTTATCACTATTGCGTTACTAACGTAGTAAGGGCTTTTTTGCACATTTTGACCTCTTTTTGGTCATTTGCATGGATTGTAAGTGCCAATTGCATTATGTAAATAACTTTTATTTTGTTCACCTCACAATATTTTACTGTCAAATACATTATCAAAATTTTCATGAAATTTAACATAAATCTGGAGGCGTGCTGCTTTAAAGGACATCTCAACTGTTGGGATAATGTTGATTAAATTTAATAGAATAATCTGTGGGTGATACCAAGCAAAATATGCTCTAAGTATAACAGTCTGCTGAACAAGGTCTGCTGAATATAGAATATAAGATGTAGATATTTCTCCTCACTCAGTAAATACTAGGGTGATTTTAATGAAACTTGATAGGAGGGTCCTAATAATGAAATGTATTATGTAAACAATCTGCTCAGGTAAGCGATTTAGGGCCCTCTTGTTCTAATCAGTACTGACAGTATTCAGCTTTCACTCTGACTGAAGGTTCTGTTAACTGAGTTGAAGGAGTGTAAGTACTATTTTGCTTGCATGTATTGTTATTTTATTTCGACGGTAAGAAGTTATTCCTTGTGGTGTCCGTGGTGGAGTGGTTATGGTTGTTGCTCTTTGCCCCTCACCCCTGTGATAAAGCTATCCTAGCTTACTGAACATCTGTGGTTTTACTAGGGTGTCTGTTGGTGCATTGAGGGGCACCTTAGGTCTTTCTACACCAGTAAAGCTTGAATGTGGCCATATCACTTTTACTTGATTACTTTGTAACCTTAAACACAATAAGAAAATTGAATAAATTCAAATTTGTTTTTTGATAATTAAACATTTGATAAAATTTAAACTTAAAGGGATTATAACTCAGGCAAATAAATGACAAAATATTAAAATGATCTTTTGATCTCAAATCACGTTATAATGATATTATTTTAAAATCCCAGCATGAATTTCTGTATTAAATTCTTTATAGTTTGGGTTTGAAGCCTAAATATAACTATATATTATATTCAACGAAATTAAGATCCGACAGAATCACCGAGTAGTTTTAAAACGAGTTTTGTGACTTAAACAAACCCTGGAAGTTACAATAACAGATATTATGGATATTGTATGATTGAAACAAGTCTAAGTCATTCATTTGACATGTTCTTTAACATTTCCAAAGTTCACTGTGACAAGTATTTGTGAAATCTTAATGCTCTAACCTGACCCACGTGGGTCAGGTTAGAAAACCATCATTTAATACTTTATAATGAGAAAAGATTTGTTCCTGTGACTGCCTAGTGTATTCATTTTGAGGACATTTACAGAATAATGAATGAAAAAATCAAAACAAAGAAATGAAAATTTTGCCTGTGTCTCTCTTTAAGATGAATTGACATTTATATATTCGGAAGTATTTCATATTTGTTTGTAAATGAAAGATTTTCATTTAGAATTTAGCTTTTGCATATTTGCAATTTTTATTTCACATTGATTCTTTGATAAATTGCTTTTTAATTTAGCATAAAAGTAATGCTTAGCATAAAAATTAATATATTGTCCTTTGAAACATCTTATTATAAAATCTTATTATACAGTTACCAAACTGAAAATTTAAACTAATCTATACTACTTATGAGAAATTGAATAACAGGGTTTCATAAAGCTTTAAAACAATCTTATTATATATACAGTAACCAAATTGAAAATTTAAACCGTTGTTACATTTTCAGGTCCAGATCCAAACGATACACTATCATTTCCAGGTCATCAACGGAAAGGATCTTTCTCTGGTATGGACCCGATGGGCCCAATGGGGCCTGGTATGGGTCCAGCACCCGGCATGGGTCCAGCACCCGGCATGGGTCCGTCAATGGATCCAATGATGCAGCAAGGATCTCCGATGAATCATAACATGGGCGGTCACATGCCGCCTTCTCATGGAATGAAAAACTCTCAGGTGTCTTTACAAAGGGCAGGTAATCCAGAACAATTTGTACCGGAGATGCCTCCTGGTGGGCAGGTTTCTGGTTCGAACGCATCGGCTAACAAACCGCCTCCTAGCTATGCACAGTCTCAGTCGACGAAGAGAAAACGAGATGACATGGAGGAACTGTGTAAAAACTTACAACCGACGCCCTCTCCTCAGCACATTAGTTATCTTAACCAGTTTGACGGTCAGGAACTGACTATTACTAAACAAATAAATACTGCATATCGTGATACGAACACTAGTGAGTCTCAATCCAGCCATTATACTCAAAATAATCAAATGGTGAACTCTCCGTTACACGCACCTGGATCTAATAAAGGCCCAATGTCAAACTCCAGTCAAACATCCAGTGGGCCTTTGGCTAGCCCTGGCCCAGTTAATGTTACACAGGGTACAGGTCAGGGCCCGGGGCAAAGCTCTATGTCTGGAGCTAATATGCGCCTTTCCCATTATGATCCTCAACAACAACCACCTCAAAATAGTAGTAGTATCTCAAATTCACCAACAACACCAACCGGAAAATCATCATTGTCCAACAACATCACATCGGCAACATTAGCGAATTTAGCAAAAGGTGTAGAAAATTTATCCAATCAAATGCAACAACATATGATGCAGGGCGGGCCATTTCATAGTATCCAGATGCAAAGTCAGCAGCAACAGCAGGTTGGCCCGGGAACGCCCCAGCCACAACAGTCTGTTAGCAATCAACAGCAGACGCAGTCAGTAGTTCCAAACTCATCACAGACTTCTCATGGGGGTACACCTAGTGTTAATAATACATACGTGAACACCAATCTCTCAATACAACAAGTTAATATACAACAAACTGCGGGGCATGGGGGTGGGGGTAATAATTATGGTAGTACAAGTGGTTCTGCCTCTATGCAAGTGCAACAAATGAACATGGAGCAGACACAAATGAATGTGCAACAACAACAACAACAACAAAGTGGTGCCAATATGGTTGGAGGAAGTATGACACAAGCTGGAAGTATGTCCCAAAGTAACATTACTCAAACTACAAACATGACTCCGAGCTCTGGAATGCCATCTAGTGGTAAACCTGGTAATATGAATATGAAAGACAGTAACTATGGAGGTATGGCCCCGCCCCCTAGTATGCACAATAATCGGTCACCATTTGCTCAGTCCCAGAATCCCCCTCAAGTGCCTACATCGGGACGGCCAGGCTCCCCAGGGTTTCCCCCTAGCTCAATGGGAAATGCCAATGTACAAATTCAACAAAAAGCTCCCAATACAATTCAATATTTACCTGCAAATCAGGCTAATATGCTTCCTGAAAATAAACCCATGGGCAAACCAGATTTAGATTTTATGAATCAATTCACAAGTCCTGTTGGTAATATGGATGGTAAAGTGCCAACTTCTAAGATGCAGTATTTTCCAGGTCCAGGTGGGAGTCCATATGGGCCAGGGGGTCCCGGTAATATGGGCCCAGGACCCTCCCCAGGTAAAGGCCCGGGCCCCCAAAAATTTTTGAGGGCAAAAAGGGGGCCTTTTCAAGGTAGGGGTCAAACCCAAAGGGTTTGGTGGACAGCCCAATGTCAGTTTTCCTAGGATGGCCCCAAAGAATGGGTCCAATGGCGGGAAGCCCCAGAAGGGGACCAATGGGGTCCGGGGGGGAAAATCCTGGAAGGGCTGGGAAAATTGATTCTAGAATGGGCCCAGGCCCTGAAATGGTTATGGGTGGTGACCCAAGAATGGGAGGAGGTAGCATGGGTCCTATGTCCGATCCAAGGATGGGCCCAGGTGCCGGATCAATGTTGGGAATGGGTCCTGGCTCTGGTCCTATAGGTTCCATGCGTCCAGGGTCAAGGGGTAGTCCTTTCACTGGGCCTATTGGCCCAGCAGTACAGCAGTCTATGATGATGCGTAGGGGAAGTCCAGATTTACCTCCTCTTGGTGGTAATTTTAGTCCTGATCCAATGAATCCAAATATGACCAGTATGAGGGGGCCCAATGTGGCCCTTCCTCACCTTAAGGGGGGAAAAATCCCATGACTTCAATGAGAAAACTTTGGTCAAATAGTTTTAAATAAAAATGACCCTTTGGGACCGATGAGGGGGGGACCCCCGGGAAAAGTAGGGGAAAACCAAAATATCCCATACCAAGTCCCCATATAGTGGGGCCCAATGGGTTGGGCCCAAATGAGGGCCTTTTGGGCCCAAAGGATCTATGTAAAATGCGGGGCCCCAAAATGAAAGGGTCCGGGGTTATCCCGGAAATTTTCCCGGGCCCTTCCCCTTTATTTCTGGGCAACCAAAGCCCCGGGAATGAGAATTTCGGGGTAGGGGTATGGGGACCGGGCCCACTAAAGTCCTGGTGCACCTGGGTACTCCAGTGCCCAGTTTCAGCAATTTCAACAACAGTTGTATTCCCAAAGTCGTCCCCGTCAAATGTCCCCGATGGAAAGCATGATGGGAAATCCTGGTGGTCCCGGTTATGGTCCGATGGGGCCTGGTATGGGAGCTGGAATGATGCCAAATATGCATGGTACTATGTGAAACATTTAATTGTGTAAAGTACATGATAATTTAATTCTGTATGCGATAAGCAATTCGGTGCTTAAAATGGAAGAGTGGGGGAGAACAAATAGAACACTGCAGACTGCAGGACGAGGGTAGTGAATCGAAAAATTCTTCATGTTTCAATCGAGAAACTCTTCGTGTTTAAGAGATTTTGAAGGAAAATATTTATATAGGAATTCAAGGCATTTAAGGGAATGTATAAACAAGGTTGTGAAAAAAAGTATAAAAGAAGGTGAATATAGGCGTGTGATTTTGGGGAAAGATTAGTTATACTTAAGTGACAGGAGTGTTGAAATAAAGAAGAATTCAGTGAAATTTATTCAAGATGAAATTGAATAAGTGAGAGATAGAAAAACACAAGTGTTGTTGATTCTACAATTACAAGACAAGTTAGAAACATAAGGCGATATTTTTTAACGAAAGAGATTCTAATTCTCGTGATGTTTTTATTAATGCACACCCCATATAATTTACATTAATTTGATTCTTTTAGAAGACATTTGAAAAAAATAAACAATTTTGTGAGCTCAAATTTATTGAATTGTATACATTTCTTTTTTATGTCAAAAGAGCACTATTGTTTTGTTGCTCTTTTTAAGATGCCATAATATATAACTTTATATATATATAAATATATAAATATATATATATAACACAAGTCCAAAGATTGGTATCCAGTCTACGGTTGGAAGCTTTATTTTTATAACCTTTTCTTTTTATTTATATTGTCCTTATTTTCAGTCATTCAATAGACATGCATGTCTTTGACTGTTCATAGTTCAAAGGTTCTTTATATAAAAAAAAAGGAAAAATATTTAGCAAAGAAAACGAAGTTTGTAGACCAGTCAAATTTGTAGACCAGTCAAATGATAAATTTAGTTACATCAGGTTAACAGTTAAAAAACCAACATACAGTTTCCCTACAAGATGCCTCAACATATTTCTCAGGAGGCATCTAAAGGGACTTCGTTTGCTTTAAAAAAATGCTTGTCATAAATGACAAAATTGTTATTTTTGAGAAATTTTAGAAATTCTCATATACACAAATTAGTGTGTAAAGTAATACCTAGAGAAAAAAAAAACAGTCACATAATAATTAGTTATATGTAAATGCCATTTTGTAATAGTGTTCTGATTTTGGTACATCGAAACAGAAAGAAAAAAAATTCTGAAATTTTAAATCAGTGTCCCTGATTTTGCCATGGATTGTAGACCTGTCTTATAAGTGTACCCGACATATAGGCGAGTTACCAGGATAGTATTGTCACTAAAACTTGTTGTATTATGATACATTTATAATTTGTTTTTCTAGTTCAATTCTAAGAACTATTAGCATGATATTTAAAAAATTAGTGTTATTTGTTGAATAATACTGCATATAGCATTTATAACAAAAGGGAGACAACTCTAAATACTTCATGTATTATGAAATGGCATTTACACATGGTTAGGTCATTTATGTGTCTGAATATTGTTTAGATATCTTAAATGAATATTCATGAAGCTATATTATCTAAAAGGGACTTCTGTATTGATTTTAAGAATTTGAATAATGTAGAGCTAAGAAGTGCACATATTTAAATATTTAAAACTTTTCTACTAAAAGACTGAATATTCATTTAGAAGTTATTTTTATATGGGCTTGTGTGACATAATATGTGTACCACTTTACTCAAAACAGAAACTACTTTGAATATTCATAGATTACTGGTCTTGTATAAATATTCATGTTTATGAAATTTGCATAAATTTACATGATTTACAATTTTAGTGTCAAAAATGTATGTAAATAGTTACAGTTGTCATATATGTACATAGATTATTTGTGTAAAGTCGTATAACTCATCTTTGTTTGTATACAATGACTTTTTTTTTTCCGTTCATCATTCATTCATGATCAAATTTTATTGTGTTTTTTTTCCCCTGTTCTTTCAATATTTATAATTGGTTGTAATATATTTGATTAATTTTTAGACCATGTTAACATTTTTTTATATCCAAAGAAAATGTTACAGCTCATAGTGTGACCATTTCATAATGAATATTCATGAGGTTAATTTGCATAATTAGATGTGTACTGAATATTTTATAGGGTCGTATGAATCCTATTTCTCTAATTATAATTGGTGCAGTTGTCGGCATAGCATTTTAAGAAATTTTAAAAAAGGTCTTGTTTTGTCTAAAAAGTTAGAGAAATTGAATAGTCATATAATTATTAACACCTTAGTGCAGTAACAGGTTTACTCTCTATTAAAATTCAATAGGAGTTAACCCTTTACTGCATGAAGATGTTAGTAAAGAATGCTTATCAATATTCATGAACTGAAAATTGTTTTATTATTCATTAATTTAAATTTTATTTATTTTCTGAATTCACTCCATACTCCAAGACCCAGCGTTTTTTCAAAATAAGAAAAGAAAAAAGAGTAAATTGACACATTTTGAGTGCTATGGAGAATAATGTAAACATTCAGCTCACATAATTATTAAATTTGTAATTATTAAATTTTGCTCGTGAAAAAATGTGTAGTACAATATCAAAAGTGCAATAGTAAGAAGACTTAACATGTTTTGAAGTAATGATTCTGTAGTGAAAGTTTATTCTTGTCAATGTCGGTTGCACACAATTTTAAGGATAACTGTAGCAAGATTTATATAACCTGGAAACCAGTCAAGATGTATGCTGGTATTGTATTGGTCAATTTTAAATTTGAACTGAGAAGCAAACCAACCAATCAGGTGCTAGAATGAGAGAAGTTTAGATACAATTTCTAGACCATTTTAGAAGCTAAAAAAATTATGAAATCATTCTAAAACCATTCAGAAAATTTTATGAAAATTGTAGTAAATGAAAGCTTATAAAATTATGAATAATCTAATTATCACCTGTTAAGTCTAGAATGCTCATTAGTCATTTACATTTCCACTTTAAACCGCTGGTGTAACGCCTTGCCAGTCCTGACCTAATATACAGTTTGAAACCAGACTTTATACTGTAAGTGGCCCTTGAATTTAAAGTGTAATTTTTTGTAATAAACCCATTTAATACACACTATATTACACTAGTGTAATAATGCTTTGACATGACGTCATTTGCATCAATATATACAAACATAGTTTTCAAGGGTGCTAATGTTAACATTACAAAACTTCATTTTTTTATGCATTTATTGATTTGAATAAATCGTTTATTTGTTAGCTTTAAGAAAAAGTAAAAATATATCGAGCGTTGCCCCCTTTCAGGAGTGGCTCTTGTTTTGCTTACATGATAATTTTTTTTTCCAATTCCATCAATCCTTACTTAACAAACTGTAATATTATAACTGTGAATAACCTGAACTTGTTAATAGATAATTAACAAGTAAGTTATTAATATTCATGATAATTGAAATGTTTGTCATAGGAATGGTTTCTGACTAGGGCATAAAACGTTTTTTAAACTCACCAATCCTTGCTTAACAAACTGTAACTTTAATATCAATTTAGTATCATTTTACAAAAGATAATTAACAAGAAAATTATTAATATTCATGATAATTGAAATGTTTGTCATAGGAATGGTTTCTTTGATTCTTTTTGGGCTACATGATAAAACATGTTTTAAACCCACCAATCCTTGCTTAACAAACTGTAACTTTAATATTATGAATAACATCACTTTACAAAAGATGATTAACAAGAAAGTTATTAATATTCATGGTAGCTACAATGTTTGCTAAAAGGAATGGTTGGTGTGCTATTAATTTATGCACTTTTAAAAGATGTGCTCTTCCCAGAGTTAACTTTGTGATCTTTATGACATTCAAGTGTGGAAATGTTGAGAGTACATAAAAACATACAAAATGATAAAAATTTAATTGCATGGTAGTTTGTTAGAATGGTCATTGCTCCAGAAGAAAAAATATTCATGTACAAAACTTAGCAAATTTTGTAAAAGGATAAGTAAGTTTAAAATATTTGTTTAGGTGAAGATTTCATTTTTTTAAACACCAGCTCAAGTTTTTAATATCTGATTGGCTTGTTTGAAGTTGACATTTGAAATTGACCAATGTTCTGATGCGAAAGTCAAAAACTGGTTTCCTGTTAAGATTCTTAACTTAGTTCTTTTTACAGTAATTTTTGATGGTCATTAAGAATGTCACATGATGGTCATGTGACAGTTGAAATGCACCAATCAGATTGTCAGTACATTAATAGGTATTGACCTTGGATGCTATAGTATATTTTTGATATGTTTATATGACTGTATTAAATGTGCACCTGAACAATTGTAAAAATAGTGCACTCTGGCACAAAGTTGATACAAAAAGGGTTAAAAAGGGGGGATAACTATGTACACAATGTCAGCATCTTTTCATAGATGATTATGTTAGTAAATCATGAAACAAACTGTTTTTTGTTTTTCCTTTCTTTGACCCAAATAAAGAAGATATAACAATATGAATCTAAAAAGTGTTGCCCTTGTCTAAATGGTTATGTCAACCTTGTTAAAAAAGTTATGTTATCTTTGCGAAAATGGTTATTTAAGTTATGTCTTCCTGTTAAAAATGGTTGAAGTCATTGTCTAAAAAATTGTTAACATCGATAATTTCCTAAATAGTTATGCCATTCTTGTTTTAAATGGTTGTGCCATCATTGTCTAATTGGTTATACCATCCTTGTCTAAATGGTTATACCTTCCTTATCTAAATTGGTTACGTCACCATTGCCTAAATGTTATATTGTTCTTGTCTAATGGTTATGCCATCATTGCTAAATGGTTAGGTCCTTATTGCATAAATGGTTTTATGCCATCTTTGCCAAAAATGATTTATCACATCCTTGTCTAGGTGGTTATGGTCAAAAACTTTGAAATACTTTCCCACTTTTGCCATTTTAACATTCCAGACTGTCCTTTAATCTGGGTAGGCATGTACAATGTAGTCACTTTACTGATGGTATGTAAATATACGAAGCAAAAGTAGCATAGAAATTAACTGGTATTTCTTGGCCAGATAAAAAAACATGCAGAAACATGGATCCATAGATTTGTGTGCATAACTTCGGGATAACTTGTTTAAAAATGTAGGCAGTTACGGACAGTAATGCTGGTGAAATCTGATGAGAAATTCTACACAAAACTGGTCTGTTTGAATACATACCAGATTGGGATAAATTTTGAGAGTAATGTTTTTTAATAAGGGTATGAGATCCTACTGTTCAAATACGATTATTATCCACTCCTACATTATTGAGAAATGACACTGTTATTTAAAAAGACAGCCATATCTTTGTCGTCTTCTGTAAGATCTGTCCCCTGGAACAATTACTTTCTCTAGAAGGCTATTCAGCTTTAGTTCTGTCTGGGTCATAATATAATATACCTATATTGGGACCGGGCCTTGCAAATATTTTTAAGCTGCGGTCTCACTCCCGGCAGAGCCCAGGACCACCCCGGTAAGTAACTGCGATGATCCGGGACGATCTGAGGTGAAATTATTGTTGCGACCACACTTACCCCGGCAGCACTACGGTATTTCCCAACTAACCACCCATGATGCGCTCCGAACCATCCAGGTGAAGTTACGGTTCATGCCGGTGCTTCCCCGGTCGTTCCTGGAAGAGCCCCGGTTGACCAGGCAGAGCCCTGGTCGATCCAGACATAGCTCAGAATGATCCAGGCAGGGTCCCGTTAGAACCCCGGTGGATTGAAAACGCGCCAAAATGATTACATTGATACATACTACATGTATATCTATTGTTCCAGAACGATTTTCTGAAAAATCCTTATGCAAAACTGGATAAAAAGGAAATGGGAAGGGTTTTAATAGAAACATGTGAAATTGTCGTGATTCTTTTGAAATGAATCGGGCTTTGCCGGGGCTCTACCGGGATCAACCGTAGCTCCACCGTCATCTTCTGGGGCTCTGTCAGCATCCTCCGGGGCTCTGCCGCTATTCACCTGGGCTCTGCCGGCCTTCACTGGGGCTCTGCCAGCATTCACCAGGGCTTTACCGTAGCTCTACCGGCTATATCATGCCCCGGATCATCTCCGGTTTGTGCCGACAGAGTTACGGTGCTTCCCCGGTGTAACCCCAGTCGTTCCCGGCAGAGCTAAGGAAGAAACCGGCAAAGCTATACTTCCCGGATCATCCCGGACCACCCCGGTGATATTAAATATTTTATTCCATCCGGGAGGAATGCCGAATCATCCCGGACTTTCCGGTCCGGTCGTTCCCGGACGTCTACCGGGGCTCTGTCGGGATGTAAGTTAGACTGTACTAGCTTAATATAAATAGAACTTTTGAAAGAGACCCTGATTGGGATAAGCAATTGGAGATTAACGCTGCGTTATAACCATTTTGTGTATATTTTTTTTGTGAGGGATAATCAATGTAAATGAGAAAAATATCGGACAATTGGCGACGTTAGTATCTAAATGGTCTTTAAATGATTTATGAAAATTTATCAATGTACTGTTTTATAAAAGTGCACGAATTTATGATAAATACTCGACGCTTATAGAATGATCGGCTGTCAATTGGACGCCAATATAAGACTATCTAGTCGGTAGCTGCTTGTCCCGTTGTCAAGGTTATATTATATCCCTGGTTCTGTTATTTGACTTTATGTAAATAAATTTGTCACAGGGTAGCCTGACCGGGACTCGAACCCGGTACCTTCGGAATACCGTACCGCGGTTCTACCGACTGAACTATCCGGCCGCTTACACAACTTTTCCCCTAAATAGTGAACAGTTCTGAACCGTGACATATTTCACCACAATATTAAAATTCGTCCTCGAATTTCACAAAGCTACAGAGAAATGCTAATTGAGGCAGTCACGGTCCCCCGTTGGGCGCCAAATGTCACAGGGTGAGAAAAGTGTGCAGCCTGACCGGGACTCGAACCCGTGACCCTCGGAATACCGTACCGCGGCTCTACCGACTGAGCTATCCAGCCGCTTACACATCTTCTCCCCTAAATAGTGAACACTTCTGAACCGTGACAGATCTTTATCATCACATAATGATATCTTAGAAATAATTATGGAGCATAACAAAAACAACAAAATAAGACAAAAGAAATTTGGCATTTATATGAATCATTTTATTCATGTGTATTAAATAACAGAGACATTCTATGTTACAACTTTTTTGGGAATCAACCGTATAATAATGGAACCAATACAATTTTACTGTTGATAAATTTTATTAAAATAATTCATAAGATAAAGATTTATACCCTTTAAACGCTTTTCATTTTAGATCATGCTGCACAGTAAAATTTAAAATGAATTGAGTAAATGGTCTGAAATTTAACGTTATTGGCATAGACCTTGAAACAAATGGTGCACACATTTCTAGAAAATTATTGTTAAAAATCCTATAAAAAAGAATCAATGGAATTCTTTTAAAACAGACAGCGAATATGTATCTATTACTGAGATGACGAAACAGACTATCATCGAATTTCACCTGAAATCCTTTTAAACTTTCGTGACAATTTGTTGGATAAACTTATCTAGTATGCAGTATTTTACATGTCCTCTTACATACCTCAAAAATGCTACACAAAAGCTTTTTTTTGGTATTTGCCAGCTGACTAATTTAACAACATATTAACCCTACATGTTCAGCCAACATATGGTAGTTAAAATTGTTTCACTTTAAAATTATGAAATTTTACTTGGTAATAAAGCATAAAACATGTTAAGTAGGAACTTAGTGACTATGGGGAAAGAGAGCGTGCTTCCCCCGGCCTTTAAAGCTGCACGCCTCCAGATGAGCCAAAATATTTCAATAAAATCAATATTGGCAAAAATGTACTAAAAGTTTAAAAAACTTATAACATTCAAGATCCAAGTGATATACGGTTTAAGACTGCCTTTGCAGTATTTTATCACTATATTTCTATTGCGTTACTAGCAGTAAGGGCTGTTTTTGCAAATGTTGTCCACTTTTGGTAGTTTTCTTGGATTGTAAGTGTCGATAGCAGTATGTAAATTACTTTATTTATTCACCTCACAATATATTAAACTTTTAAATACATTTCCATAATTTTCATGAAAATTAACATGAATCTGTTGGCGTGCTGCTTTAAGCAGCACGTGTTTACGTGTGTAGCGAATCCGTGTTCCGGAACCAGATTTTCGATTACCCAGCCCCGTTTCAATACTAAAGGTCTTAAGACCTAAAACTCCGTGGTCCTATTTGTCGGACATGTAAAATAACCGTCTGGAATGTGTAGCCGCTACATCCTGTTAAAACTAATCTACAACAGTTACTATATCTGTGTGTGTGTATTCAATGACTAATCAGGGTCCATCCGCCCTCTAGATATTGAGAGTATGGACCCCAAAGTCTATACAACTACATCGTTGCTGGGTCCGAGATTTTAGAGACATTCTCTGAGCTCACCTAAGATCTCGTGTATTTGATTGGTCAAAACTGACGCAGAATGTACACTGACCAACGAAAATCATGAGATTTGAGACACAAATCAGAAAATAGTTTTTTTAGTTTCAACATACACGGTTAAAATGTATGCCTCTTACACCAGGGATCATGGGTTCGAGCCCTACTAAGGTCAAAAACATGCTTCCACAAAATTGTTTTAAATTCCAAATCGAGCTAAATTCAAACTACTAATATTCAAATCAATTTCTTTTACAATCCACTGTATGTGTACATATGCATAATGTATAATTTATCTTGTAATGAAAACGAGTCACTTTGATGCGAGAGACTAGAGCTATTATATATAATATATATCCATGGTAAAAATAAGTGTATAAATCTACTAAAGTACATGTACTTCAATTTGCATTTCACTGCAAGTCGGATATTAAATGACGGTGGTTGAGTACATAAAATCACATGAAAAGTTATATTTGATTCACCGGGATACATTTTTATTGATATTTCATGAAGGTAAGAATTTTCAGGTTATTATTCTGTTTTTAAAATTTCTAATAAATTTAATGGGTTAAACGATAAAATCAAGTTAAGTATAAAATGGGCACATGTGCAGTTAATTTTAAAATTTCAGGGGCGGGGCAATTTGTCTTCAAGAATTATCACTTCTTTCAAGAACAACAAAGACAAATGTTTCTTTCTACATTGACCTTCCTCATTAAATGTCTTGTTTTATTGTTTCTTTGAGATACATGATAAATAGAATGTACTTAATTACCGGTCTGTTCCGTGTAATTGGAAGAATAAAAGAACAGCTGCCCGTGAATGCGCCCTCGACGATAAGAAAAGGGGCATAACTCTGTAACAAGATAACTTAGAGTTATGGGACCTGTGCCTATCATGTTAGATATTGTTAAATATGTTAACATGTAAGTCAACATATTTTTATGAACTTGACAAAACAATACTAAAACAAGAAGACTCAAATTTTATGGAAGGAAATATCAGTCAGTTCATCTTTTGTGTTGTTTGATATTCTAAGAATGCTTAGTCTTATTCTATAATGATAGTCCTACTTGTTACTATGGCACATATCTTCTTGAATGAAGAATATGGCGAAATTTTAATTTCAACATCATTTTTTTTTTATTATTATAAGAAAATGTTTGTCTTTGTTTTATTTTATGATATCGTGAACGTATAATTATAATTTATTAGTCGTAATGAAATTTACAATAAAAATTGTGTTCTATCAAACTAAACTCATTACAGACATGAAATCATACTTCTCAATGTAAATTAAACATTTGACTTTTTCCCCCAAAATATTATTCATTCATCAGGCATATAATATGTATAAAATGTGAACAAAAAAAATTAACACCATTGTCAAAGTTGTTCAAAGAAAAATGACAAAATACAAATTACAACAACAACAAAAACAATTTAACAATAAACAGTGACGCACACCACTTGACTGACAAAACTTCCCTATACATGTAACACAAATGGTATCAGAGTGTTAGTATGAATTAAATATTATTTAACTATATATGTACTTGTAAAAAAATTGCGCAGCACGCACAGAAACTGGCTGCACTTAAAATTACATTATATATATCAATCTTGTATATGTACATACTACGGAGTACCGTTGGGGCCATCGTGGTTATACTTTATAATCCAGAGGAGTGCGATAACGCGATGACGACAGTACAATATAAATGCCACAATGCGATAGTGCGATGGGATAATGCGATGGCGACAGTGCGATAATGCGATGGGATTATGCGATGGCGACAGTGCGATAGTGCGATTGGCGACAATACGATAGTGCGATAGTACAATATTGTTTTATTCAACACGTTCAATAAATTTAGTATTGAATCTACACGAATATAATATTCTTTTTATCACGTATAGCTAAAACAAGAACGATTTACATTTTTTAACGCTAAGTTTGTATTTAATGCAAATGATGTCACGTTAGTGTTATTACACTAGCGTAATATTATCGTCTTTATTAAATAGCTTTATTACACTCCTGCGCCGTAGTATTTATGATAAATAGAGGGTATTCAAGTTTTTACAATAAATACAGGATTTATTTTCATCGAGTGGTATGAAAATAAATATTTCATGAGCAGCGTTAGCTACGGGTGAAATATAATAATTTCTATACCACAAAATGAAAATAAATCCTGTATTTATAGAAAGAACTTGAATTTTCTGTTTATTATATACATTTTTCTCTTTTGACATCACAGCTTGAAAGACTTTCCCTTAAATTTTGTATATTGTCTGAATAAGCAATACGACACTAGTGAAAATACGGAAAATATGCTTCACAGCAGTGAAAATACGGAAAATGAAAATACGCAATTTATTTAATCAATATTTCTCAATATATGATTTAAAAATATATAATAAAGCTTGTTATTGCATGGGTCAACAATTTTTTCTAGAACATGAATATATTTTATCGAACGAATATTTTTGTTATACAATTTAGCAATGACTCAACACGCCGTAGTTTCATTTCTTTGCTAATTCCTTTCGGGCTGTGCCCCCTCCTGTGCAACATGCATGCAAGGCGGGTATTTACAACAGAATAAATACGACATATACCGAGTCACATATTACTATATTTTTTTTCAAAAGTTAATGATACGTCTACTCATGGCAATGTTACCAATCGAATCTTTTTTCATTATTACTTATTGGCTTTATTAATTTTGCAAACATTTACTATGTAAATTTTGAGTGTTAATACAGTCAAAATGATGAGTTCAGTAATAGAAAGAGGCTATCTGATTTGTAGCCTCCCGAGTATAAATCAGATTGCCGAGTGTTTTGATGTTCTTTCGCTTTTGTTTCATTGTCAAAAATAAAAACACGTTCCCTGATGTCACAATATGAAACCCCAGAAAAAAGTCACCAATGGACGAGATTCTCATCGTTACAATATGTAAACCCCAGACAAAATTAACCAATCAATGGGCATGCTCTGGAGTGCGGGTTACTAATACCTGTACTCCAGTATGATGTAACTCTGACACATTTTCAACAGAAAGGTCATACAAAAAGTGTATACTGGGTCGGTCGTTTGTCTGTTACACATTTGCTTTTTTTTCTTATCGGGCTAGATTTAACATTTACGTAACACACTTATTTACATGCCGATAATGAGTTTTTCAAGATAACGCAGAGACGCGGCATAATTACCCTCTTGCTGCTGTATACATGTATCACAGATCTTATGTTCATTTTTTGTAGTTACCAATGGCGAGTGAACGTTACACAGTTCCTGTTGATACAGGTTGGGCTTGGATAGTTCTTGCAGGTAAAACTCACTTTATATTTAATGTTTTATATTTACTAAATTGTTAGACGCAGACGACATGTTATCTATGTACATCTCTTGCCAAATAAATACTTGTTTAATTGATCGGGATATATAGAAGTATAATCGATCGATATATAGAATTTATCACATTTTCTTTCGAGACACGAGTAAAAATGCTCGCTTAAAAATATTTCATTCTATGTATGTGAAACATAGCACTAAGCAGAAAAATAGTGATTGAGTGTGATTATATATGAACCAGGTTACCTTACACGCCTGTAACCACAGGCACGAGTATAGGACCTGGGAAGAAAAAATATGAACAGATTGATAAAAATATCAATAAGTTAAGAGTAAAGATTATACTTATGGTATATTTTTAAAGGGGCTCATATTTTACTCTTTTTTTTTTTTTTTTTTGGTTTTTGACACATTTAAGATGAACACAGGGTTTTTTGTCAATCTGGTCATGGATATTTTTTTTCCTAGGTTCGATACTCATGCCTGTGCATATAACATATCGTTACCGCCGTCGAGTCCGACATTTTAGTCTATACCGGTAGATGATGTGAGATTTTTTAACGTAAACATGGGTAAAATACGAGGGGCATATTTTAATTAGTGGCAACAACCTCAATTTAAACATGATTTGCACGTGGACGTACTAGATGTACTTGATGAAGATGCAAGATAAACCGTGGAGAAGATAAGTGACATATCGGGCCTTAGTGCGTTATATGTGTTTTCCATCTTGAAAGAAAAGTTAAAGTTAAGAAAATTGTGCGCCCGTTAGATCCCACTTTTGCTAACTTCTGACCATGCAGAAAAGGGATTGGGTTGAAAAAGCCTCGGCCTTATTGACTAGGTTCAAAGACCTTAGACGCCTCAGAGAAATTGTCAGAGGGGATGAAACGATGCAATAAACTATGGGTAGATGATACCAGCGATCGCCCAGTTTTTCCCGACGTAGCAGGAGCATTAAAGAGGTTGACAAGTGGCCGTGTCGATGTGCCTAAGAGGCCGGGGAAGTGTCATTGGAAGATTTTACCGTGTCCATGTTCTCACTGCTGTAGTTAATCACTACATTACAATGAACCCAAGGTCCGGGTGCACAGGATCAAATAACTCCATGACACGTTTTCACAAAACACTTGACCTCTCTCCTTGTGACTTTTGGTTAAATCTATACATCAAACTTGCCTTCGCGGTCCGAAAGCCGCAGGACCGTCAAAACGCCCTCTCTTCCAGTGTATTAACAGTTTACCCAGTTCAAAAATGCCTTTTCAGAATGGATTCAGAGGCCAGAAAGTGTGTAGAGGTCGATTGTGAATATTTTGAATGACTTTTATAATCATTTTTTACAGGTATGACTTGATTTAAGCCTGCGTCACATTACACTCCGATTTGGTTTACGATGGGACCCCGTACCGATGTCTGAACGGGCTGAAATTGCCAATTTTATAAAGGTCTTCGGCCGATGACCCTCCGGTGTCAAGTGACCGGTGGAGCACCGTACTGGTAATCGGAGAATTTTAGTGAGTCATTTTCTTCCGGCATCCGGTACATCGCCAGCTCACCGTAGCAGACACGGTAAAACACCCTCCGATACCCGGCCAGACACCTTTTGTTATCGGTTACATACATGTTAAAATTTTCACCTCCTGGGCGTCAAATATTTCTCCAGATTCCAAGTGGTCTCGACAGGTTACTGACCGGGACCCGGATGGACGCAGTACGTTGCACGTATGGTCCAAAGGTGTCCGCAAGGATAGCGCTAGGGTTATTAAACAGACAATACGGCAGGTAAAGCCTTGGACTGTGAATTAAGCGACCCGGGTTCAATTTTCGGATGACGGTGAAGTTCACTTTCGTTGTACAGAAGTTATCAGTACCTTACGAAAGTGAAAGATATTATTACTGTTTAGCTGCTTGACAGACTGTCCAGGAACGATGCGAAGGCTGAACTGTGCTCTGGTGTGTATATTCAAGTTGGCTTACTGTCATAGTCCTCAATACCAACATCATTCTCTTATTAGCCAACGTGCAGTGCTGAATCGGTTAAATCACTAGCCTTGTAATTTGGACATTGTGGGTTCGATTTCCGTGATGACCAACTGAAATCTTTCGGACGAGACATTAAAGCGAGGTCCTGTGTATGAGTGCTTAAACACTTGGATAGGTAAAGAATAAGAAGATTGTTTGGTGTTCTGATTTATTGATCTTGTTTTTCATATTTTTTTCTGAAATTGGGGCATCTTCCTATCTGTATCTTGCGCTGTCCTCAAAAATCTAAAGCGACTAATACTCTTCTGGAGATCTCGCCTATACGAGCAACCGATGGCGAGTATTAAGAAACTCAATTACACACACATATTCTTTCAGTTTTCACACACGTCGGAGGTTTCTTAAAGTTTTCAAGTTTCATTTACAATCTTTTATGGAAAACTTTGATTTCAGAGTGTAATGTACCTTCAAAAACAGAAAGCAAAGAAGGGAGGGGTGGGGAAGAAATCAGAGGGGAAGAAGGCAAGGAAAAAGGCCAGCAAAAGACATTTATCGTACGGTAGTCTGTCGATTACCTTAAGAATATCGACCGGGTTCAGGAAAGAAGATGCCAAGGGTTTTCACCGGGTGACCGGGCAAGTACCCTTCGGAAACCGTCCGAATGCCTAATGCACCACAGAGGGAGAATGACCGCCAACTTCTACCCGGACATGATTGAAATGTTTCTCTCCGATCTCAAATTATCAACGGTGTCCCATCGATCCCTTTATACCGGCCGGTCCCCGCTTGTAATGTGACGTAGGCATTATTTATGTTATGCGATATTACCGGCTTATTTTCATTCAGTGGCTTACATTTCATACATTTGTCACTTCGATATGGCGAATGCTAACATTAGGCGGCATTTGAGAGAAGCAGAGTTATGGAGGGATATAGGGATGGTGCAGCAGGAGCCACTTTCCGCCAGGTTGGTGCGGCGCTTTCTGTACACCACACCGTCGTGACCAGAGCCTCGGAGAGATACCGGCTACATGGTACACCCGCCAGGAGGCATGCTGGAGGTCGGCAAATGGTCACAGCACCAGCTCAGGATCGTTTTTTTGTCGTTCAGGCACGTCGTGCAAGGATTTCGACAGCAACTTCTCTTCTAAATGACCTTGCTAATGCTGCGAGGGTCCGTGTTTCCACGCACACGGTACGTAGAAGGCTGCTTGAAAGTAATTTGCGGTTGGGAAGACCTTGCGTACGTATCCCCCGTCGACATCGCCAGGCCCGTTTTGAATGGACAATGGAGCATACATGGTGGACCATGCAACACTAGACACGTTTTGTCAACTGATGAGTCCAGGCACTGGCTAGACTTCACAGATAGGCGTGCTAGAGTCTGGAGAAGACGAGATGAACGGTTTCAGACTGCAAATATTGCTCGGCATGATCGCTTAGGAGGTGGGTCAGTTATGGTGTGGGGTGGCATCAGCTGGAATGGACGAACCGACCTTGTTGTGCTAAAAAGAGGCACATTGACAGGTAAGCGATACATAGACGACATCTATGAATGGGCAGGCATACCCATTAGATCGATCAGAAATCTAATACGGAGTATGAGAAGGCGCTGTCAAGCTGTCATTAATAGTCACGGGTCACACACACGGTATTAAGTCTAAAACTGTAAAAAAAAATAACAAATTTGGAAAACACGCTGCATGTTCTGAAATCTTCAAAGAGGGGGCCATCCTCTCCTCTAGCACAAAATCAGTGTAAAACTCATTTATATGGTTAAATTCGTCCTTACGCTGAATTGATTAAACAGGAAATTATCATTTAAATTCTTTCGCATGGTGTTGATAAAATTATCCCAGAAAATATTCACACTAGAACATATTGTGCTTAGCAAAAGTTAAGTAGTATATAGTACCGAGTTCAATGGGTTGCGGACCCAGATATGGTCATGGACTGACCGCCGTCTATATATACAACAAAAAAAAGTTTCCTTCCATGTACATTTATATATGTATACCTTTAAAGGACGTTTAAAGGAAAAACAAAATAATAATAATTTTACACAAAATTGGCAATTTTCTTTCCATTTTTCAAACATTTTTCGACGTAAAACGATAAATTTTATATCAGCATAAAAGAAAAAAAATCCGTCTAAAACTATAGTATTCAAGAAATTGTGTCCGCCTATGGCGTTGTTATACCCGTAACAGTCGCCAATGATACGCAACGACGTCATTTTCAAAATGGGTACGTACCAAAACTTTGATGTCACGTGTACCAAAAAATGGCTGAAACTATTGGTATCTATTTTGCAATATGGTCAATTTTCAACACGCCAATTTTCAGGAGGCTACTCGAAAGTTCACGTTCTACCTTAAAGAGACCACAAGCAGTGCCGCAGCGAACATCGTTCAGTGACGTAACTCCACTTCCTTTGCATGTACATGTACAATGTACATACGAGGGGAAGTCAGAAAATATCTGGACTTTTGACTCGTTCTCGAAAACCATTCAACATTTTAAAATAAGTCTTTCTACTCTTTTTCAAAATATTCTCCACCTACGTCTACGCACTTTTGCAATCTTCGTTGGAGCGTTTGTATTCCCGCTGTGAACCATGACGTAGACCTATGTTTTAGGTACTGTGTAACAGCAGATATCAAAGCCGCTCTGCTTTTATATTTCTTTCCAGCAAGCAATTTTTTCAGTTCTGGAAACAAATAAAAGTCACAGGGGGCGAGGTCTGGTCTATAAGGAGGGTGAGACAACAATTGCCATTTGTAAGAGTTGATAACCTCCACTGTAGCTGCGGCGGTATGGAAGGGGGCGTGATCGTGAAGAAGGATGACATTTTTCTGTGCTAACCTAAAACGCATTTGCTTCAGCTTTTCTCTGAGATTTTTCAGAATTACTACAGAATAGTACTTGGCGGTGACAGTTTGACATTTTGGCATGAAGTGAGTAAGTATCATTCCTCGTGAATCCCAAAAGGCAACAAGCATGACTTTGCCAGCCGAAGGAGACAGCTTAAACTTTTTAGGAGGTGTGGTACTCACTCGTTTCCACTGCTTTGACTGAGCTTTTGTCTCAGGTTCGGAATAATGAACCCACATCTCATCTCCAGTGATAATGCGATTCAAAAACGTATCTCCTTCACGATTAAAACGACTTAAATGTTCTTTTGTATGGTTACTCTGGTTGCCTTTTGATCTGCGAACAGCTGTCTAGGCACCCACCTGGCACTTACCTTGCTCATGCCTAGGTGTTCGTGTAAAATCTTGTGTGCCGATGCCTTACCGATGCTAAACTTGTTGGCTACCTCCTCTAAAGTTACTAGACGATTTTTGTTAACAAAAGCTTTAACATTTGCAACCATTGTTGGGGTCACCGCCTCAGCTGGCCGCCCAGTCCTAGGCTGTCACAAACACTTGTTCTGTCTTCACGAACCTGAGAAACCTAGTTGTAGAAGGTTGAACGTGATACACATTTATCAGAAAATCTTTTTTAAGCCTCTGAAAGATGTGGCAGGGCTTTTCACCTTCTGCAACCAGAAACTTTATTACAGAGCGTTGTTCCTCTAACAAAGAGTCCATGATAGACGAAAAACCTATCATGTATCAGGGCAAACTACTGTGTATACACAACTATCATTGAAAATAAACTGACCACGTTATTGGCGAATGAATGTAGTTTTCACCAATATATAATGTGTGTATATAGCTGCACGTCGAAAGGGAGAAGCATGAAAAATCCGGATATTTTCTGACCATCCCTCGTATATTTGAACCTGTAGAAGGCCGAAAGCTACGGAGAAATGAAAAGCCGATTTTTGATATATTTATTATCAAATAGTTTTATATTGTTACACACTTCTTCTATTTTACATGAACCTTTAGGTTGTGTTCTGGAGATAACTGTTTATGGTGGAATTATGAAGTCGTTTGGTATTTTCTTCATACAGTTTCAGCAGAGATTTAAATCCAACACTTACGAGACTGCGGTAATGGGCTTGATACAAAACGCTACACTCAGCATTTGTTGTAAGTTTCCCCAGTGGTCATTTAAACAGTTTAGGATAACTTTAAATAAATATTGATTTTGAACTTAATAGCACTGACAAAGATAAAAATCAAGAGGCAATAGCATTAAACAAAACAAAAATAGTTTATTTCAAAAATTTATACAGCTCTGCACGATACTTCTGGAATAAGGAACACTAGAAGAAAAAGTATCATCCGTTCTTTCAGTTACTACAGTATGGTTCGTCCAGTAGATACAGCATCTTCTAGGACTACGTTTAGATACATGTACCTTGATACGGAAACCGACGCAATTTAACGGAAATTTACGAAATGCCAGTGATTAACAAGTTTGTATTAAACTATGAGTAAAACTATGTTTTCTTTTTCTTTACTTCAGCTGTTTTTGTAATGACCGTTGGTCTTCAGAAGTTCAGCAGTCGGGTGTCTGTTTTCACCGGAGGTGTATTAACAGTGGTTGGATTTCTGCTGACAGCGTTCACTACTGATTTAGCAATGTTTTATTTTGGACAAGGATTTTTATTAGGTAATCCTTCCCTGATAACAATATTTGATCAAGTAATCTCCCTCCCTCACCTGAGTTTACTAAATTTTAAGCACAGTTTGATTATGACATGTCTTTTTAGGAACATATTTACAATGTTGAAATATTGCATTATCGAAATATATGCTATTGCCTAAAATGTCTGACTTCTTCAAAGGAAAAATCAGATATCTAAACGTAAGAGAAACCATCTGTATATTGTCTTATATCAACACGAGCTCTTTGCCAGTGGTCTTATGTTGCTGGGTCGTGCTGGGGTTGCGTTTATTGAACACCGCCCTTCCTTTTTGGCCTCGTTCTACATATTTTGAATGAAAATCACACCAATGAGACTCCGTGAAATTAACGGTACCATAGTAGATAACTGTCTATTGTATAATTAGCGATACCATTCACCTCACCGGAAATTACGTCTATATATTGGCTCGCGAAATTGTCGCCCGGAACTTACGTCATCAAGACCTCGTGAAATGAAATTATCGCCATTATTTACCCGACCGGAAATTACATTTCATAAGAGATTGTGAAATTATCACCATATCTACCTGATCGGTTGTCTACAATATGTGATGAACGTATCAAAATCATTGTTCATTGTCATAATATAAAAAAGGCAAAGCCTCAAAGCGAGCTCGATTTTCTTTTACCGTGAAATAGTATAAAATAATCGTTCAATTTTATTTTACATTTTCCGTTTTAAAAATGTCATTCGGTATTTTATACACTGCCTCCGTTTATTCTGCTTCCCTGTCTTATTATGGTTCCCATATAAGCGACAGGACACCAGTCTCTACGCTTCCGTTTTCTATCAGAATACCTCGGCTTTTATCGTTATCTTGAAATTCGAAAAGTTGCGATGTGTCATTTCGGTACTTCGGACGAAAGTTTTCATAACCATCACTATCTAGCAGGTACTCGCGTTACCGCAAAGCTCGCTTTGCGAGCAGGCCCTTTGTGCCAGTTCTTCAAGCTCGCTAATATGCAGATGGAAAAAACTTGGTTATATAATATATCTGGTCATAGCGATTCAAAATGAACTTTTAACTAATTAGTATGGATTGCTGATTAAAGTTCAGATCTTCCTATTTCTGTTTTGTAGATCTTATTATGACCGTATTTTATAATTCTGAGTTCCCGATAAAGCTATGTTTAGCCATGCAATCAAACCGGTTTTTAAATGTTTGGAGTAATTTTTAACAAATTTCTTGAAAAAAAATAGAGTCAATTTTTAATGAGCAAGATTGTTTTGCCAGTTTACCTGTCGGCTATATAGACAACTCCATGTTTGTTCTCGAAATCCTCAGTAGTAAACATTAGAAACTACATCGCTTTCAAAATTTTGAAAGCTAGCCGATGATTGGCTGTGTAAATAGTTACCAGAAATAATTTCGTGTATGGCCACGCTCAGATCTAAAAGCGGGCGTTATTTAGAGCTGATTTTAATCAGATTGATCGCTGATCTTACAGATATAAGAACAAGAAAGTTTAATTCAACTTAACCATCTCCTTACTATTGATCTAAAAAAATGTTTTAACTTTTTAAAGTATATTTGCAGGTTTTGGAATGTCATTGATCCATGCACCGGAACTTGCCATTTTAGGGACTTACTTCAGAAAGCACAAAGCACTGGCAAATGGTATATTCACAGGGGGTGCATCAATAGGTGGACTCATATTCGCACCTATCATTGTAGAATTATTTGAGGAGTATAATTATACGGGTGCCATGTTGATTATTTCAGGTCTTTTAATGCATATTTGCGCAGGTGCTTTACTTATGCGACCACCTGAATTTTATACTAAAAAGGAAAATAAAATTGAAAAAGTTTTGGACTATGACAGTGAAGTGAATATAGACATCAGAGAAAGTATGCCGTGCATTGATATTATAGAAAAAGGAGTACCGGCCTCTATCAAAGAGACAAGCTCTTTACATGAAGACAGAACAAGGCTTACTCGCTCAGTAGAGCTTGTTCCAGCTGAGCTTGTGACAGCACAGGATAGCCTTAATGGCGGCACAAAAAATTCAAAATGTACACAGGAGATTGCAAGGATACGTGCCTATTCTGTTGGCAGTAAAGCTAGCAAATCACCTCGTTGTTCAGGCGGTACAACAGACCATATAAATAGAAGTCATGAAGGCAAATTACATGCTTTTTCGTGCGCCATACCAAATTCGCAAGTGGCACTTTTTGTAAACTTGGGCGAGCCGTGCTTCAGTTCTTTACCTAACGTTACACATCATGAAAAACACAATGATTGTGCAAAATCTATCCGGCACAGCAACAAAGTTTCTGAACTCGGCTGTTTTTCATCCATTAGAATGCGAATAGCATCTGCCCTTATAACTATATTCGATCTTCATTTATTACGTAATCCAGTGTTCTTGACCTTCTTACTGTTAACATTTACCTCAATGACCGCGCATTTCATTGTACCAAATTTTATTCCTACACACGCTAAAGAAGTTGGAACTTCGAATGAAAACATTGGAATTCTCATTGCTGTTTTAGCAGCCGTAAGCCTCTTCTCAAGAATCTGTATCGGAATTGTTGTCGACCGGATGTGGTTGAGTTGGTCCACTGCGATTGCGCTGACGTCATTTGTAACCGGAACTGCGTGTCATTTACTCAGATTTGTCAATGACTTCCCTGCTCTTCTGATTTTTGTTGTAACTGTTGGTAAGTTTACATATAAAGATTATTCTCTCCCATTATCAAACTTAGGTTATTTCAATATAGTTGCTCTAAATACATGTTAACTTTTAAAAGAAACCATATTTTTGTAAATTGTTACTATAGTTTTACCCCTTCAAGACCAAGTTAAGGGGATGTATAAAGATCTCGTGTCCTAATGCCAGCGTTGGCAGGTCGAAAGTATCCGTGTTACGGACACACGTTTTTTTTCCTCAAAAAGGTTTTGGTTCGTTGACGGCTGCCATTTCGTAGATGATTGATGAATTCTGGGGTTTATTTTGTAAAAATAACCGCAGATTAGTTTGTAGCATGTAACGTTAAATAAAAAATATTGGAATATTAAGTTTAATGCAAGTGTATTTATTGCAATATTTAATTCTATATGTTTGAAATTGTATACATTTGTATTTCAAAATGCATAATGTATTCCTCCGGCAATATTGCCTGTCGAAATCTTGCCCACTGCAACATCGTGTTATGTTATAATTTGTGAGCAGGCATGTTAAAACTTGTGGTTCTGGGTAAAAACAATTGAGAAAAATGTGACAGATTTTAAAAATGAGAATCAATAATGTAATGCCGTAAACACAGGCCAAGTTTTACTTTGGCTCCGCTAAATTATTATTTTTTTTTACTTTCAGGGCTTTCTAGTGGCCAGTACCATTCTTTGTATGCCGTTATACTTTTAGATGTCATTGGTCCCGAAAAGTTCAACAGTTCTCTTGGATTTGGAACGCTGATTCTCGGGGCTTCGTCTGCAGTGTTCTTTCCTATAACGGGTAATTTTATTTTAACTTTAACTTTTCTGTTTTCTTGACTCCCTAAAAATGTTTAGAGGTGAAACTTCACCGTCCTACGTCACAAAGTGTCAGATTTCTTTAAATTTTGCTGTGAGACATCCTTTTGACCGTCTGACTGCAATTTGATGAAATCATAAGAGACGGTTTTCTGTCAAGTTTGCTCAAATAAATTTTGTCGGTCGCTATCATCCAGAGCTAGAAATAACTTTAAAAACCATAAATTGTCATCTGTAAAATTTTATAAATTACACTTTATCAGATTAATAAAATATTTGTGACTAAATTACTTTTGCTAATAACTATATAATGGAATAACCGTAACAAAACAGGGTCTTCAACATCTTCGGATTGACCTTACAATTAAATGTCCATGCAACTTTGCATTGGGCATCTGTTATGGACAATCGTAGCTAAAATCAAATCAAATAATAAAACTTGTAACATATATATTGATGGACGATGCAGGATCGATATTATACAAAAGAGGTCTAAAATAAGAACAACAACTTACAAGAACAACATCAAAAAATGAAAGTTCCTGATTTGATGAAAACAAGATTTTTTTTAGAATAAATCACCATCATCAGCAAAAACTGCATGTTTATAACATCTGTAGACCTATAATACTGACACAGCTTCGAAAAGTGAGGGCCTACTAAGCATTCAGTAACTTCCAACTAGTTTAAGTATTAGTGTGAATAACTTTTAAAAAACATATTGTTATTATATAATGTTTATACAGGTGACTTAAGAAAAGCAGAGCTATATTAAACTGCATGGAAGTGAAACATGGTGTTTTTCTGTGACATGTATGTGCATGTAGTCAATTGTTATTTCAATTCGTTCTTAGTGGTTTGATTTACATTTCAGGTAAACTTCGGGATAATTACGGTTCTTATATAGCACCTTACCATCTTCTTGGTGGTCTGGCATATTTCTCTGGGATTCTTGTACTATTAATGCCAAAATTGAAAACTTGGCATGATTCTAAAAGATCACGTGCCGGAAGTTAACCTCGGCGTTCATTTTTTTGTTTGAACAAAATAAAGTACATAGTGGAAAGTTTGAATCTTGTCACAAGATGCCCCTCCATTGGTTATTCGAGGCACAAAATGACACCTGCATAGAACCACAAAAAAAGCCCGTGTTCAGCTGTTGAGACTCTGAACAGCATTTCAGCCATTTACCAGCAAACCGTACGAGGACAGTATATTGTACCTGTGTATACATTCTGTTCTTGACGTAAAAATTATGGTACGGTAGCTGATTTGAGTCATACAGAATATTTTATTACATGATTTACTTGAACCAATGGAACGATTATCGCAGTCAGTTGAAGTCACGGAAAATATATGCAGAATGTTAGGGATTCAATCGTGGATACATGTACATATCTTCCTTTTTATACTATTTGGAACACATTGCCAATCACCAGTAATCATCTCGGAAGCAGTACGGGTTGAAAGTAGTTCTTCCACTTGACTTTTGTTTACAGTGGGTTTTATCCGTGTATAATCTTTGCGTAAGGAGTAACAAAGCAATTATTGGACATGCTTAGGAAAATAAAGTGTATTTCGGTTATATTATGATTGAAAAAATATTTTCAAAAAATTAGAATAAAAGAATTCCTCCTGAAATACGATATATAATGAAATTCTAAATACATGTATTGTCAACAGGTATGTTTGTTGTTATAAAAATCGTAGTAATTAGCAATTAAATAATGTACATATGGAGAATGGGCTAATCATGGAATGTTGACAGCGTAGATATGAAAAAATCACTGTATAATTCCTTAAAGTCAATACAGTGATTAATATTTACTTAATTTGTATAATTTATTTTCAGCATAAGAACATTTTAGGAAATCTGTTATACCTTTGTAATCTATTGCAAGCTTTTCTTTTCATTTTTCCGAGGGATGTCGCACCAACACTGTAAAAATCATATGGCGACTTTCACGTTTTATTGTTGGATGAAGACCTCAGACGCCCCTCTGAATTATTTAATTCTGGCAGGAACCTGTAACCTGGGTAGTCTTTATAGGAGGAATATGTGTTTACCCATGGTATAAATTATTATAACATTATGTCCAGCTTAAGAATTTAGACCTCTAGGTCAAAGGTAAATGTCACACTTGTAAATCTAAAGTCGAGATATAGGAATGTAAGAATGCCTGAATTGTTGACCGAATACGGCTATCAATTCACTTTTAGAAAAACAATCATATCTTGACTGGATTTACAAGTGTGACTCACACAATTATGCAAAATTATTTCGTATCCGTCCATTAAGACCAGGCAAAAGGCGAACAGCCGGACAATTCAAGAAGTAAATGCCATCATTGGCGGCATAAAAGGTGAATTTGGAAATTGGAGAGAATTGTGAATATAACAGTTCAGAACTTATTTGCCTAGTCTTTATACAAGCTCACATTCGGGAGAGATCGAAGTTTGTTTGAGATTTATATCTTTTCATACAGCAGGGAAAAAGATCTGATAACCTTTGTCATACACCGGCACTTGTCCACAATGTTCATTTATCGGGCTGTGTTGAAACCAACCTTGTTAAATTGTTTAACCTGATGCTCACAGTTGCTATATATATATATATATAACGCTTTACATCTACACAAATAATATAAACAAATAAACAAAAAATCGTAATTTATATCGCATATAAATTCGTTTATGTTTTATTAGTTACTTTTTTTTGGACAGTTTGGTGGTTTTTGTTGTCCAACTTTGTGTCATGTATTAACATTTGCTACATGAAAGCGTATTTGAAGTTTTTGGTTAATCTTTTCTTTGACAATAAAGACGTTTGGCTCTACCAGACATTATCAATCAAAGTTCTGTGTTTGTATTAACTCTACTGATTATGACACAAATTAACAAGGAGGAACATGTACCGTGTTAATAGTAAAACATAAAAAATAATATAAGAAGAGGATTTTAAAGCAGCATGCCTCCAGGTTCATGCTAATTTTCATGAAAAGTTTGAAATCATAAACATCAGTAAGTTATGAAGTTCGATGATCTTCGTTGAACCCATTGGCAGTTTAGTTTTTGACTGAAAAAGTAATTTTAAAGTTTGCAATCAGAAATGCGTGAAATACAGGTTTGCAATTAAAATGCGCTTGAACAATATATGTTTGTGTATTGAAACTTTATTTGGAAAATGCAAATTCAAACATTTACACAGTATTGATAGATACATATTTTTGTCTTGTTTGCTGAACTTAAAAACTTACAGATGAGAATAAAAGAGCATAAAAATCGTCCTGGACTGTCATTTGTCAAATCTCAAAATAATGTCCATAACCAGTGTATATCCTCAATAACTTCGTCATACCAGAAGCTTGGAAGCTGAGACGTTAAACCGAGTGTGCCGTAATCATTGCTTTAAGGAATATGCATATTAAACAATTTCAAAATAATATACATAAACCCCCTTACCTGAAGAAAATACGTGCGAGCGTTGTAAATATTCATGACTAAGTAGCCATTTTGTCAAGTTTGGACTAAAACCAAACGGGTGAAAATAGATATGAGTAAGAAAAAAAAAGAACTCCATCGAGCTTGCAGGAAATTTATCGTCTGAGCAACTCGAGCCTCAATTGTTGCATACCATAGAGAATTTAAAAAAAACAACATACACTGAACAAAAGTTCTAACCGATCACCCTGAGTTTTCGCTTATACATGAAAAAGAATAATACCAATAGATCCGACATTTATTTTATTTTGAAGAGAATGAACACATTGAGAATAATAAAATTGTAACATTTTCTATTTAAATAATACTTTATCGATATTTTTAAAAAAATATTTTTATGAACAGCCACTCACCTGTCTGATAGAGGCTCCAGCATTCAACATTCCAACTGCTACGGCACGATCCTGCATCGACATTCGTGCCATGTTTTATGTTTTTTCACTTATAAAGTTAACAAGGATTTATGCAATGTAAAATTTAATACTCACCATGCTCTGCACGAACATTTCGTGCCAAAATGTGTAAACCGCTCCCTGTCTCCCGCGCGAGCGCATGGAACCGTATTAAATTATTTTTCTTTCCACAAATCGGTAGAAAATGACACAAAAATCACCTCTGCAAAATTTTATAAGGATCTATTGACCCGTTATAAAATAATCAAAATTTCAAAAGTGATCGGTTAGAACTTTTGTTAAGTGTACACTACAAGTAAGAAAATAAATCACGGAAACTAACGAAAACGGTCCCAAAAATTAATGCGTTACCAAACAATATCTTCATTAAAAACATATTTTGTAATCGGCTTAATTGCAGACATTCCTTGTACATGCGCACTCATATTGGCATTTTACAATCAAATATATATTGGAAAGTTCGTCTGTAAAGTAGGGTTTTCAATATAAATAAACATTTTTTTTCAAACATAAAGCCGCTTGTCTCCTGACTCATGCTTATTTTCATGAAAATTTAAAAAGTAAAATATTTTCAAGTGAAGAAAGAGAGTTGTTTTAACATTGTAAACGCAACTTCTACGAAAATAACCTAAAATGGGTCAGAATATGCAAAAATAACCCCATTTTGCGTTAATCACGCAGTAGAAATATGGTGATACATAATTGATTGCGTGTAACGTGTAAATTATTTCTTAAATTGTGTATTATTTTACTTTTCTGAAGATCTTAGTACATATTTTTCAATGTTGATTTGCCTGAAATATTTTGATGCATCCTGGTTATGTAGGGGAAATAACTTTCCATTAAATATGGTAAAAGGTATTGTACGCGTTGTCTCTCTTAATTTAATTTTTGCTAGTGTCCGGAGTGAAAACTACCAATACCACCACCACACTGGTAAAAACGGAAGCACTAGATTTAAACTAAAAGATACTAAACAAATTTGATTTGACTGTAAAACACACCATTGCTATTAATTTGACCAATGCCTGTTTAGAATTCACGTTATTTGCAAAAGAAGACAAGTGTATCACTTATATTTATGGATATCAAACCCTTTGCGAGGACGTAGAGTGTTCGAATGATCTGAAATTTTACACATAAATTACCGGTATAGACATGAAGTCTTCAAATATAACATTTATCTTGACAAATTATTTCCATTCCCGTCATGTCAAAAAAAAACTACAGTGGAGTTCCTTTAAAGGTAAATACATTTTTGCAATCTGTTACATGGTAAGATATCTCAATTTTGCTTACAGCCATATTGAACTGGTTAAGTATGGGAAATGAATCAGTGCTGTGGGTAGGCTGTCTCAGTGAAGAATGAAAATTTGTGGTACATGTAGTCTATCTGGTCTGGTCGTGGGAGTAAACTTTAGTTCAGCATGTGGGCATGTCGGGAGGCTCTTCAACCTTATATGGGAGCTGGTGACTATCCGGCCATATCATTAGTGATTTCGTACATAATAGACAGCCTACAGTCAATACGACAAAGATCTAGTCGGCACCACTTAAGAGACCATAGCATTTGGGTAACCAAAGTCAGACTTGATATAACGCGCAGATCTTTGGACAGACTCTATTAGATCAGTATGAGCTTGATTGGGGAAGCGGGGCATACTTCAAATACATATTAAAGTTGTGGTCGGACAAGTGTCTTATATGCCATAGCCAGAGTTTACCCCAGTTTTACGTCGTTATAAGCCCAGGGTTTGGTTTGCCTTTTTGGTTGACCCGTTTACGTGCTCGTTTCATGAAAGACAATTAGATATATCCATGCAAAGATATTTGGCTGAATTAACCGGCTCTAGAGATTTTCCTATGTAGAGACAATTTGTTCGTATGGGATGTTTTCTTCTTGCTGAGTCATTCTGTTTGAAACACCCTGCATGAGAATTGTGACTTGGATTAGTTGACATTTGGATGGGTTAAACTCCATATCCCAATCCAATTTCCACTTTTTCTAGGTTATTTAATTCTTTTTAATTCCGATTGCTGACCTGATGTTGGTATGTAGCAGAATAGACGAACTTTTATTTGGACGTCCAGTAAGAGGTCATTTATGAATACAAGAAAGAGGAGTCCGAGGAGCACCGACCCCGGGGGACTCTAGAAGTAACAGGTACATTGCATTGCATTGCATTCAGACGATAATCCGTCTAATACTACAAATTGGAGCCTATCATCTAAAAAAGACTTTTGATTCATATAAGTGGTTGACCTCTTATGCCATAGACTAAAATTTTTATGCATTTCCATTAATTAGAAGTTTTCATGGATCGGTCACCTTATATAGAGCTTCTCGGTTAAAGATGATGAGGTATGCTTGTTTCTTCCTTCAAACTGCTAAAAAGGGTCGTTACTACCGTTTGTAGATAGGCAGAGTCTTGAGCCACGTCAATACAAAACCAACATAATGGGTTTGCGACCAGCGTGGATCCAGACCAGCCTGCGCATCCGCGCAGTCTGATCAGGATCCATGCTGTTCGATATCAGTTTCTCTACTTGTAATAGGGGTAAGCGAACAGCATGGATTCTGATCAAACTGCGCGGATGTGCAGGCTGGTCTGGATCCATGCTGGTCGCAAAACCATTATGTTGGTTTTGTCGTGACACGGCCCATATACTTTATCTCAATCCAGTTCATTCTATGAAGTACGCTCTGGGTCTTTAAAGGGACCTTCTGTATATATTGATTTAACCTCAGAAATATTATATTCATA